TCCACCGTACCAACAACCCTCATGGCAAGAGGTAGTCAGCTTTTGTCCCGTCCTCAAATTTCTCACTGTTATTCTAGAGACTGCTGAGCCATCTGGCATACTTCTAAGCCGTTTTCTGTCTTTGTGTGTATGTCTGTGTTCCTATACACAAATGTACTGTGGATCTTTATTTAAAAGTATTGTCCATGATGTTTTCAAACAGAGAAAAAAAGAGTAAGAATGAGGATTCTATAAACACATTTTTGATAGAAACTTTGGTGGCATCTCTGGGACTGACAGGAGAGCATCCTCTCTTGCGTTTATGTCACTAGAGCCTTTCAGGACTTTTCTTTCTAACAAAACATCTAAGGTATTGATATATGTGTTTTGAAGCCAATTTTGTGTTTAGTACTGATTCATTTAGTTAATAGTTTAAACAGATTAAAATAAACAGAGTAAGAACAATCCACAAGGAACTGTGTGGACTTTACATTGGGTTCCTGTGGAAAGTAGAAGGCATTTTCTCTTTGTCTGTTGTGTATATTTCATTTTATAACTCTTTTGTGTAACTTGAAACAAGTTGTAAAATATCATATCCTCTCTTTTTGCTCCAGAGCAGAATTTTGCTCTATGCAGAATTTCAGTCTAAAATGATTTTTTTATGGGTGACCACTCAAAATAGAAGGGTTACACTAAACAAAACCTAACAAAGTGGAATTCATCAGGAACCATCAAGTTGTGTGATGGCTAACTTATGTGAGTGTCCTTATCTTATCTTCATTACCTTCGTCTTCCGACCCCTTCTTCCTTTCTTTTGTTGTCATGCTCTAATTTTGCGGGAGGGATTGTGTCTATTTGTTTGTACACCACTTGCCACAGTGGGGTCCTGATCTTATTTGGGACTTTTCAGTACTAGCAAAGTACAAATAAATAATGACAACACTTTAAACTGATTCCAAACTACCTACAGTAATTAATCTTGTAATTTTTTATTTTAAGGCATCCAATTAACAATTTTGACCTTATACAAAGAGATGCCACAAATGACAGATGAGAATCCATGCTTCCATAGTGTGATGGGGTCAGGCCAGATGGCTACAGGAGAGTGCTGGAAGGCAGGTATATTAGCCCCAGGATAAGCAGGTCCCTTTTCCCTTGGTAGCTGAACTTGGGTTACTTTAAGTTAATTAGGATACCTGGGGCCAACCCAGAGCCTGCCAGAACCTGTTAAAAGCCTCCCCTCCAGCCAGATAGGGATGCACGATAGAAGCTGAGGGAGGAAGGCGAGCTACTGGAGAGCTGGGCAGTGCAGACGCTGACAAGCATTAGGAGAGAAGCCATGCAGGTACAGAGGTGAAGGGCGCGAGAATCCTGCCCAGCAGAGCAGACGGCCCCTCTGGGCCCCGAAGTTCTGAGGGAAGAGATCTTGCCAGAGGGGAGAGACTGAACCGTGTGTCTGGTCTGTTGCCACCACGTCTGGAGGAGCAGCCAGAGACTGAGAGGCTCCCCCTTCCCCGATCAGGGAGGCCAGGAGGAACACTGCACCGGCAGGGTGTGGACAGTAAACCCAGGGGTGTGGGGAAAATTCTGAGGGGAAAGAGGAATATCCCAGCCCGCTGTTAAACGGAAGCGTGGGACCCACCGAGGCGGAGAGGACACAATAGAGGTTGTCTAGAAGTTTCAAATAGTGAGAATAGAGTGTGATGGAAGAAACCAGTAATTGCTGCTAAGATTTTTTTCTGTTTGCTAACTGACTATTGCTAGTTGCCCACAACTTGGAGGACTAAAGTATCAGTACTGAACTGAGACCCTGAAAACCAGTTAACAGGTTTGTAGAAGGGCCAACTCCCTGCTAGAGCTCCTCCTTGTGGCTGGGCGAGGCATAGTAGTTCTTTCCTGTTTAGCACCGACTACTGACAGTCACATCAGTCCATTAGTAATCAGCCTATTCTTGCGACTTGGCCCTCTAGCCGGGTCATGGTTTAGTCCCATCCCTTTCAGGGTAACAGAGTCCCACAAATAAAAATCCAAAGTCGTTACAAAAAGGTCTTTGATCCTGACTCTGGTCCCTGTGGTCCTCACACTCTTCTCTCAGGGCTCTGTCATTCTTGTCCCCTTCTTGGAGCCTCATGCCACCTTACAGTGAATCATAAGAAAACCCAGGCCCTCCCACTTCCAGTCTGGGGAACATAGGACAGGCAGTTAAGGTTCCCTGCATTAGGTTCCCCCAGATTACTTCCTGCCACCTCGCTGGACTTCTTCCTACCTAGCCTTCCTTTGGCCTTCTCCCCCACAACCTCTCTAGGTTCACCCCATGTCTAAGGCCTGGAAACTCGGGGTATCTACATTGCAATTAAAAACCCACAGTGGGCCTGTGCCAGCTGACTCGGGCTTGTGAGGCTCAGGCTACGGGGCTGTTTAGTTGCAATGTAGACATTCAGAATTGGGCTGGAGCCTAAGCTCTGGGACCCTCCCCCCTTGCAGGGTCCCAGAGCCTGGTCTCCATCCCGAGCCCAAACATCTACACTGCAATTAAACAGCCCCGTAGCCTGAGCCCCAAGAGCGCAAGTCAGCTGGCACAGGCGACCCGTGGGTGTTTAATTGCAGTATAGACAATTAAAGCCCTCAGAGCCCTCCACTGGAATTCCCAACAAACTCCCAAACCAACAAATGTAAACTTGGGCCTCCTTTGGCTTGACCCTTCGTCGCTCTCTAGTTACCCCTGCTCTATTCCCCGGTTAAATGCCTCCCAGGGCTCTGTCTACGGAAGTCCAGTTCCTCTCTTTCTTTCACGGACACCACCAGAGTCTGCGCCACTCTCCAAGTGCAGCCTGGTATGTTAATTGACCTCTCAGGCCCACATTAACACATTCTTTACCTGTGTGAAGTATACACCCAGGTACAAGGGTGTGTGTGTATGTGTGTATGTGTTTAAACAGAAAGGAAATGGTTTCAACTAAACCATTGAGACTAAACTCTAAAGTTGAAATGGTTTCAACTAAACCAAACCTATGAGAGGATGTTGACAGCATATAATTCTGAGTGCTTTTATAATTTAAAATGACCTTGACAAATTGGAGAATTGGTCCAGAATCGACAAGATGAAATTCAGTAAACACAAGTGTAAAGTACTACACTTAGGAAGGAAAAATCAAATGCATAGCTACAAAATGGGGAATAACTGTCTAGGGAGTAGGGCTGCAGAAAAAGATCTAGAGGTAATAGTGGATCACAAATTGAATGAGTCAATAGTGTGATCCAGTTGCAAAAAAGGTTGATATAATTCTGGGGTGTGTTAACAGGAATGTTGTATGTAAAGCACGGGAAGTTTATCTGCTCTACTCAGCACTGATGAGGGCTTAGCTGCACTCCTGAGTAGATTTCTGGGCGCCACACTTTAATAAAGATGTGGATTAACTGGGGAGAGGAGAGCAACAAAAATGATGAAAGATTTAGAAAACCTGACCTATGAGAAAAGGTTTAAAAACCGGCTATGTTAATCTTGAGAAAAGAAGACTGAGAGGGGACCTGATAACAGTCTTCAAATATGTTAAGGGCTGTTATAAAGAGGACTTTGATCAATTGTTCTCCATATCCACTGAAGGCAGGACAAGTAGTAGTGGGCTTAATCTGCAGCAAGGGAGATTTAGGATAGATATTAGGGAAAAGTTTCTAACTATAAAGATAGTTAAGCACTGGAATAAGCTTCCAGGGGAGGTTGTTGAACCTCCATAATTGGAGGTTTTTGACAACAGGTTAGACAAACACCTGTCAGGGATAGTCTAGGTATACTTGGTCCTGCCTCACTGCAGGGTGCTGGAGTAGATGACCTCCTGAGGTCCGTTCTAGCCCTACATTTCTATGATTCTTCATGTAGTAAAAATGGGACAGGGGGTCTAGTGTAAGGCCTAAGGCCTGAACTAAAGTCAGGCCCTGCTGATTTAAAGCAAAGTTAGCAAGAATAAAGCTAAAAGCAAAAGTCAGGCCCTGTTACAAAACATGTCTATTTGCAAGTTCACAGAACCTGGCAGAAACAGGGCTGGTATTGCAAAAACTTAAACATTCCTAAGAAGTAGTAGGCATAGGACACTCATGTAAACACATTCCAGAAGGGTAGTACCAGAACACCCCGATACCAAGTATGGCATAAACACACTCCCCGAAGATAACAGGGACACACTGACCCCCCCTAAAGATAAGATCAGGATGACAGCATGATGGATAGAGATATTTTGATCGAACCAACAGGTACAAGGTAAAGGGTGGTAACTAACCACATCAGAGGGACAATACATAACTTGTTTGTATCAGTATATAAAGAGGGGTCTCAGAGGGGGAGTCGTCCAGCCGAGGGGGGGATGGAAAGTCCTGCCATTCACAGAGCTGAGTCCATTTGTAATGGGCATATCTGTCCATGTAACTGTAGGCATTGATCCAGAGAGCTTGGACCATGCTTCGCTAACAATAAACCTGGCCTTCGTTACTGAATGGAGTCTGTGGTTTTCTTGGGCAGTTTGATCAGAGCCTGCTGTACAGGCTATCTGGCCAGAGCCAGTGCAGCACGCTGAGAGAATACACACACGCAGTCAACAACCGATGACACTACGAGCTAGCCTTGTCTCAAGCAATCAGGAAAGGAATGCAAATACAAAAAATGTATATATTAAGGCCAAATTTTTCAAATGTGGGTGCCTAAAGTTAGACAGCCAAATTTATATTTAGGCACCAAAATAAAAATTTCCTGCTCTTCTTTTTGTCTTTCAGAAGTGCTGGACAAGGTCCCATCCTTTTATTTCAATCCCCAAATATGTATTTAGGTGCTTGACTTCAGACAGATAGCTTTGAAAATATTTGATCTAATCCTTGACTATATGGCATGTTTGTCTCTTAAAATATTTTGCATGAGGATACGCTCTGAAAGGCTGATATCTGAAACAGCCTTACAGAATGGTTGCCCGGTTCATTCCGTCCAGTAGTATTTTCTTTCATGTAATTTAAATAACGGTGGTTTGATTTTACAGGTATGTGAGCCTATGTTCACCCCGAAGTAAGGTTTCATTTCTTCGGATTTTCAGGCTACTCAGATCTTTAAAAGCTATATCAGCAATCCCAGGTAAGAAGCAACAGTTCTTGCTGTCTGGCTCTCAGCCGCAAATGTTTTCTCTCTCTTATTCCTTCACTGTTGTTTTCAATCATTCTGTCACTTTTTGTGTAAGCAAAATCCTTAGTCTTAAAATATCAAAGGGGTAACCGTGTTAGTTTGGATCTGTAAAAGCAGCAAAGAGTCCTGTGGCACCTTATAGACTAACAGATGTATTGGAGCATGAGCTTTCGTGGGTGAATACCCACTTCTTCGGATGCATGTAGTGGAAGTTTCCAGAAGCAGGTATAAATATGCAAGCAAGAGTCTTAAAAGTATTCAGAATACGTCAAGTATTGAAAACAATTTTGGGTGAAAATGAGGTTAAGCACTAAGGGTCCAGTGTTGAAGTTGTTACTTGGTCCAAAACAAAAGCTAATAAGAGTTTCGCATGAGTAAGGACTTCACAGTTATACCCAAATCTGCAGTCGAAATTTACATACCATTTCTTTTAGCAAACACTATAAATAGAAATAATTTACTACAATATACACACACTGAGAACAGGTGAGTGAAGGCAATATATCAATAAAATATATTTTACAACACTGATCTGTGAGCACAAGTGAATATTTCCCAATACTTCTAAAACTAGGAAGCACCCTGTATCGTATTGGGGCCTGGTAGCAATCACTATATTAAAGTTGATTAACACTGTTGTTTAACCCCCTGTTTTCAATTGCTTCTAACTTTGCCAAAGTGTAATTGTTCAGGCAGATGTTTTCCACTCTTTGGCTTCTGTCTCATGTTGATTTTTTTTTTTTTCAAAATATAGGTAAAAGTTGTGCTGCTGTTTTCAAGAGCAAGATTTGTGAAAAATAGGCAATCTGGACAATATTAATAAGATTTTCCAGCCATGTTTATGGAGAGCTCTTGCTGTCTGCATGAAAATTTGTGCGCATTTGGCTAAATTATAAGTGTCAGGAAAATTACCATTTGCACATATGCTGTAGGAATTGTTAGCCTTGTGCCTAAATTCTCTGAACATTCCATGTGTTCCATACTCCCCATCCTCATTGAGCCTGCTAAAGCAGCCACACCAATTTAAACCTCTGAACAGGATGCAGAGAAAATGGATCTTTTTCCTCCTGCTACCCCCAAACTTTGGCTTCAGTGAAGGAGGATAGGAGATTATGAGTTCAAATCTCCTCTTTTCTACACACTGATGTTAATAACTCCATGCCCTTCATGACCCCTTAATATTGAGCAAGCCCTTATACCCTCACACCAGGAGACAGGCAAGTGCTAGTTTCTGATCATCTACCCATTTTACAGAAAAAGTAACTGCACAAGGTCACATCTGACATATTTACAATTAATGGAATCCATATCTCTAATATGGCAGACAGAGGCTCTGTCATATCTATGTGCTTCAGTATGATTTCTGGACATTCAGCATGTTTGAAAATCAGACCACTTATTTAGATGCCTAAATATGTATTTAGAAACCTAACTTTAGACATTCATATTTGAAAATCTTGATTTTTTTATATGAGTCTCAGGCCTTGGCTACACTTACCAGCTAGTTCGACGGCTGGAAATCGAAGTTCTG